AGATTGAAAAATCTACCCTAAAGTTCATTTGGAAACACAAGAGACTGCCAATAGCCAAGGCAATACTCAGCAACAAGAGCAACACCGGAGGTATTATGATACCCAACTCCAAACTATATTACAGAGCCATAGCTATAAAAACAGCGTGCTATTGGCACAAAAACAAATATGAAGACCAGTGGAACAGAATAGAGGACCCGGATATGAATCCACACAGCTATGCCCACCTTAGTTTTGACAAAGGCACCAAAAACATACGATGGAGAATAGACAGCCTCTTCAACAAATGTTGATGCGAAAAGTGGTTATCTGCCTGAGGAAACTAAAACTAGATTCATTCCTATCACCCTCTACTAGTATCAACTCAAAGTGGACTAAGAACCTAATATCAGACCTGAAACCTTGAAGTAGTACAGGAAAGAGCAGGGAATACTGTGGAAGCAATAGGTATAGGTAAGGACTTCCTCAGTAGAACTCCAGTAGTAGAGCAACTAAGAGAAAGAATGGACAAATGGGACCACATGAAATTAAAAAGCTTCTGCACAACAAAAGAAATGGTCTCTAAACTGAAGTGACCACCCACAGAGTGGGAAAAAATATTCACTGGCTATATACATTGAAAAGGACTAATAACCAGAATATACAGGGAGCTCAAAAAACTAACGCCCCCCCCCCCAAAATCAATGAACCAACAAAGAAGTGGGCAACAGAACTAAACAGAACTTTTTCAAAGGAAGAAATCCAAATGGCCAAAAAACACATGAAAAAATGCTCACCATCCCTGGCCATAAAGGAAATTCAAAACAAAACCACACTGTGATTCCACCTCACCCCTGTTAGAATAGCTGTCATCAAAAACACCACCAACAAATGTTGGCAAGGATGCGGGGAAAAAGGAGCACTTACACACTGCTGGTGGGAATTTAAGCTAGTACAACCACTTTGGAAAACAATATGGAGGCTTCTTAAAAAACTAAACATAGATCTTCCATATGGTCCAGCAATCCCACTCCTAGGGAAATACCCAAAGACACCTGCACACCCATGTTTATTGCAGCACTATTCACAATAGCCATTTATGGAAACAGCCAACATGCCCCACTACTGACGAGTGGATTAAGGAAATGTGGTATTTATACACAATGGAATTTTACTCAGCCATGAAGAAGAATGGTATCTTATATTCGCAAGTAAATGGATAGAACTGGAAAGCATCATGATAAGTAAAGTTAGTCAGGCTCAGAAGGCAAACGAACAGCATGTTCCCTCATATGCAGATTATAGACCTAAAATAAATGCAGTGATTTTATTCGATATGGGTCACATATGAAGGGGAGAACATGTACAGGAGGAATAGGGAAAAGGAAGGAAACCTAAAACTAGAAAGTGTTGATGTGCCTACTGTAGAGGAGTGAATAAAGTAATCTTAAACTGGCAGAGGCCACTATGGGAAGGTTACTGGGAAGTAGTGAAGTGGTCTGGTAGAGATGAACCAATTCGGGTTGTAATATACATGTGCATGGAAGCAATGCTAGGAATCTCTCTGTTAGCTATCTTTACGTCAAGCTAGCCAAAATTGCTATGTCTTTCTTATTATCTCTGGTTTCTCTTCAACAAAACTGGACAAGAGGGCAAGAACATGTTTTGCTTGGAAGCGTGGGTGGAGGGGAGAAGAGGGGCGTGGGGCACAGGAGGGAGAGATGGCCCAACAATGTATACACATATGAATAAATGTATAAACAATTTAAAAAGAGAAATTGCTTTAAGTAGGGGAATGAGGGAGAATGATGGTGGTGTTGAACCTAACCTAAGTACACTGTAAGCATATATGGAAATGTCACAATAAAAACCCCTGTACAACTAATATATGTTAATGAAAACATTAAATAAAAAATAAATAAATACAAAAAAATTATCATTGAGAGACTTGAGATAAGTGTCTTTATGTGGAATACACAAAATACAGTTGATACAAATATTCACAGCGCTTTTTCATGGAATACCTGTGCATTTAACTTATCTAACCATGTGCCATGGACTTGACTCACAGAAGTCCTCTTGGTGAATGGGAGGTCAATGTGTAAAAGTTGTCTTAGCATGATGTGTTTTGTGGCAGGTATGCCTCCAGCTCACTAATTGTGAGAACAGCAAGGAGACCAAGAAAGAAAATAGAAGCAGGCAATGAGGACATTGTTTTCATCACCTCTAACCTTAATATGGAGGACAGTTTCCTGAAGAGTAACCCATTTCTATTCTAGGATCAAATAATGTAGAACATAAGAGCAGAACTACTGGATCCAGGCTAATCAGTCTAAACCCTGCCCTGTTGCTCTTCAGAACTGTAGCTATGGGAAAGTTCCTTAGCCCTCTCTGTCTCAGTTTCTCCTTCTGTAGAACAGATAATAGTTCCTATCTCACAGTGCTTGTGAGAATTAAATGAGCATTTAAACCAGTGCCTGACACATAGTAAGCACTGTATCAGAGATTGCTAGTATTAATTCTCGAGAATGTCAATTTTTGATTTTGCGACTATGCATAGAAATATGAAATTATTTAATTTGAACAAATTCTTCTAAAAATTCTTATTAATGTCTGAAAAGTGGGAACAAGTTGTATGTAATAATAATGTACATCACCTGAAAGCTTGAAGAGAAAGGTATTGAATGTTTTCATGACAAAGACACAATGACTGTTTGAGAACATAGAAATGCTTGCCTAGGCTTCACCATTACACAAAGTACACTTGTATGGAAACATCACATGATACATCATAGCTATGAACAAATGTTATGTGTCCTTAAAAAAAGTTTTCTGGTAAGAGCCAGACTAAGTCTCCACACCATGAGCTGTGAGGAGGGCTCCTGGTCTAGTTTCTTCCCCGCACATCTTGTAGCTTCCCTGTATGTGCTGTGGTGTATGTTTTGGACCAAGGCAGATACATAACCTCTCTCCTGCCTCAGCAATACACCTGGCTACATCAGCATCATCCTCAAAGTGATTCTGAGGTCCTCCAGGCCCATCAATACCCCACCCCCAATACACTGCTGGGCTGGATGCACAAATTTATTTGAATGGATGAATGGAATATTTAATTTGTGTAATAGCCATCATGACTGCCTGTGAAGGGAAGAGGCTATCAGAGCAGAAGTGCCCCAGAGGATGGCAAGTGCTCTCTCCCTCCACAGGTGCCAGGGTCAGCCCTGGTCCTGACAGACACTCTGGAGACACTTGCCCACACAAGGGCCCCAGTTCCCACACTAATCAAAGTCCCCACACCTCCACGTTCCCCCGAGATCTCAAAACTCCAAGGACAGCATCGAGCACTTTCTTACAGCTCTCATGATGCCCAATGACTCCTCCAGCTCCAACCCCTATGATCTGAGTTTCCCTCTTTTTTCTCCACTCTCTGAATCCTGTGTCCCCCTTCCAACTGGTTCTCTGACTTCTCAAATCTCTAGCTGTTCTTAGCCCCAGTCCTGGAGCCCATCAGCCTAGAATGATCCCTAGAATGATCCCAAATCCACTTCCTCCCAGGGATGCTACCTCAACCCTCCTGCCAGACCCCAGGAGGGCTCAAGAGACAAACCTCTGACTCAACCATCCCACCGCTCTCTTGTCCCTGACCTGTCATTCATCTTCTCTTCTGCTCCCACATCTGTACCACAGAGCCATGGCATCATCTTGCTTCTGCACATGCATGTGTGCACGTGTCTGTTTACCTCCTTGTGTGTCTTTGTGTGAGTGTGCACACATTATACACGAGTATACCTGGGAGTGCATGTCCATGTGTCTCTGGCATGTGAATGTATGCTTATATAAGCCTCTCATGTACACATAGTTGTGTGAAATTGTGACTCTCCCTAGCTTCCACTGTGGAACCCAAGCCTTAGTTGGCTTATTTTTCCTATTTTTGTTTTGAGACAGAGGATGTCTGTGTAACTTTTCATTCTTTGTGTCTCTGTACATCTCTCAGTTAGTACACCATCACCGAGTGACACCATCAATCGTATTTACAGGGAACCCAGGAATTTATGGAAATGTACAACTGGTGACATCCTAGGAACCAGATGCTAAGTTGATCCCCACACAGCAGTGGGGAGACTGGGGAGGTCATGACAGACACAGTGACTTGTACTGGGTCACACACAGTGGTTGGAAGGAGGGTAGGGTTTGAATGTTGATGTGTCTCTTCAAAGCTGGGTCACCAGACTGAAGGTATGACTGAAGCAGTAGAGTGCAAAGCCCTGAGTTTAAACCCCAGTTAAGAAAAATAAAAAAGCTGGGGCACTGATGGCACACAGTCTGCCCCTGACTGTGTGTTGGGGAAATGTGGCTGTGCCACTGTCCAGTTTCTCACATAGGTGTGGGTGGGGAAGTCAGTAGCCCACGGGATCCCTGGGGGGCTCTTTATGGAAAAGGCTGAAATGAAGGCACCTCCAGAAATGACCTCACAGTCTTGACAATGGGCAAAGTGGAACATGGAACCTGGGTACCAGGCACTTCCATTCCAGCACAACCCCACCCAGCTCACTTCTCTGGAGAACGTGAAGAGGCAAACATGTTCTCTTGCTGTCTCCGTGTATGCGAAGGCTCAGGCCCGAGTGAAGGTCATGACCACGTCTCAAGACGCTGGGTCAGCCCTCGCTCTGGCCGTCTCTGGAGATTTTGCCACAGGATCCCAAAGGTGACTCAGGGCAACCAAGGGCAGGTGAAGGAGGGCCAGCCCATCACCCAGATGTGTCCAGGAAGCACCAAATACTTGCCAGAGAGAGAGAGAGAGAGAGAGAGAGTCTGTGTCTGTGTGTGTCTGTGTGTGTGTGTGTCTATGTGGATGTTGATGTGGGTGTGTGTTCTGGAAAATTCTTTCCAGGCTGTTTTCACTTTCCAGTATGGCGATGAGTCTTTCTCCAGTTTGATGGTGTGACTAGCTGTCTCTTACTTTTCCCATCCTAGGAGCAAAAGAGTTGGCCCCGACCCTGGCTGACCCCTGCAAGGCAGGGATGCTCAAAGCAGGCACTCTGCAGCAGCTGGTGGACCACCTGGTGCCTGCCCTGCTCTTCGGGGACCCAATGGACATCCCTATCTTTCTATGCACTTATCGACGTTTTGCCACCACACAGCAGGTGCTGGACCTGCTGTTAACTAGGTAAGGGTCACCTGCAGGGTAGAGGACTCCCTACCTACTGGCTAGGATTGGGCATGCCTGTCGTCTCTTGTGCCCAGTGTGATTGTGGGTACTGGGCTACTCAGAGATCAACCCTCATTGGGAGTTAACAGGATAGATGGGATGGACCCTGGAAGTGCTTATGGGTATTGGCGGGGGAGGACTGCCCCAGCACAGTGGGCTGCCCAGGGTGCTCTCAGCTGCTCTGTGTGACTTCCCCTCCCCAATGAAGAAGCTCTTTGCCTGAGGCCTCACTTCCCTGAGAACTGGGCAAAGCATTTTCCCCACTTTTAAAAGTGGCTCAAGCTAACATCGGGGGTCCCTAACCTAATGTAGCCAAGGGGCCCCAAGCCCACTGAGGTATCTGGAAGGAGACAGTTGGACTCGTTCATTGCACAAATATAGAGTAGTATCTGTTGTGGGGGCACATTTCCAGACACTTAGTAAAATTCACTAAGAGGAGCAGAAAAATCCCTGACTTAAGTGGTTCCATGGCTATTGGGAAGTAACACAGGGTCACTAGACATAACAAGCAGTACAGTAGAGTGAAACCCTCACAACCTCCCCTAGATATGCCTCCTTCCTCCTCTACTCCACTGAGGATGGTGGACCACAGGAGCAACTCAAGAAGTGAGTAGCCGTTCGGACAATAGGGTGGTTTTCTGTCTCCACAGTGAGGACATTTGGGATGGGTTGGGGAAAGATGGCAAACTGTGGTCCCATACCTCTCATAATTTCTACTAAAGGACCTTGGTCTAGGGCTTTACCTGCACGTGGAGGAAGACAGAGAGCTGTCCTGACAGGGCGAGTGGGTGGGGTACTGAGTTCTTGGGAAGTTGATGGTCTGGGGCCTCAGAGCTGCCTGTGAGAAGCCATCAACTGTACCACAGCCCATTGCAGCCAGACTTGCCCACCCTGTTGGATATCGTAGCCCACAGAAGGTGTGAGCGCTCACTCCTTAGCAGTGGGCACTCAGCAGTTTCCAGGGAATCAAGGACTGCTCAGGGAAAGGTTGTGCCACTAAGAGAACACTGTCACAGGAAAGCAGCCCACACATGGCTGATGCAGAAGGGAGCAGCAGGCACCACAGTAGGTGAGTGCTGTAGATGCCACACAGGAGGACCGGGCCTCGTGGACGTGGCAGTCTAGGATACAGATGCCTAGGACGCATGGCACACGAGTAGGGTGAGGAGCTTCCCTGAAGGGGAAGAACAGCTCACACCTTTGATCTAGGGTGGCCCCCGTGGAGTTTGTCTGTGGCTCCTGCCTGTTTACTTGGCCTGCCACTGCCTGGACTGCTAAAGGGGCTTGGACTCAGAGGTGTGCTGGCCTCTGATTGACGGGACAATCACAGGAGTCCAGTTCCCACAGGTGTGCTGTGGGAAGGCCAGGAGAAGAAGAGGCCAGGCCTCTGACTCTCAGGCCTGCCTGTCTGTCCCCAGAGCCATGTCATTCATCGTGGGCACTTGGCTAAAACAATACTCAGAAGACTTCACTGAACCTCTGAACTTCATTTGCCTCAAGAAGCTGATGAATTACCTGCAAGTCAACCTCCTGGCTCAGATGAAGAGAGCCATGCCAAACTTCTCCTTGCCCAGATGGAGCACCTGGCACCCAGCAAGGAGAAGTCTAAGGTGAGGAGCCTGGGGAGAACATAGAACATACGAGGAGGGGTCTGTGCTGGCCCCACAAGCAGGAGGGCCCAGGGCTGCCATGGGGCCAGGAGTAAGGCAGCGCCAGGGGCCCTGCAGGGGGTGGACTACACTCCAGCAAGACATCCTGTTGATGGCTTCTCTGGCGAGCAGGGGACTTCTCTGCCTTTGCAGAGGCTCAGCACGAGGAAGTCTTGTTGGGGCTCTTGTCTTCCTCCTCATCTCTCTCTCCATCTCCAGTGCTTTGTCTGAGAACAACTCCACAGGTGGAACATATTGAAGCACCGTTTATGGTACACAACCCAGTTGCAACACCACCATCAGATCCAGAGCTGGTGTCATCAGAAGACTCAGAGTCAGAGTCAATTCTAGCACTTGCCCTGGAGCAAGCACCAATCCATTTGCTACCTTCACAGCATGGATCATGTCCAGCACCTGCTCCAGAACTGGATCCAGCTTGCTCATATGCCATAGAGTTTGAGCCAGCTCTGTCACCATTTTCATCAAGGGATTCTTCCTGGGAATCCCTTGTGTCTATAGATAGCACATTGAGCGAGGAAGAGCCTTCCATCTTGTTCTTCCCTCCGCAACTGGTGGCAGAACAGTTAACACTGATGGATGCTGTGAGTGCCTCCACAGGGCAGGGTATGGGTGGGCTTCCTCCTGGCCTCTGCTGCCCAGACTTGCCAAACCCTGGTACCAAGCCACTTTCAAGTCCAAATCCCAGCTCCACTGGTGCAAAAGCCATGACAGCGATTTAAACCTAAAGCCTCCTTTCCCATTCCGACAGTGGAGTTGGGACCAACCCCAGTAACTATGAAGATTTAGGGATTGAATGAGAGGTGCATCCAAGTCCCATGGATCACTTCTTATCTGTCCTGGACGCCTCTTTAGCTTCAGCACTCATTCAGGGCCTGAAGTGCACTAGAACCATGGCAGACACAGTTCTACCCACTGGTTGTACCAAAATTGTTTCAGAGTGGAGACAGATAGAAGGTTTTCCTGGTGGAGGGCAGAGGTGCCACCTTGGCTGTGCAGGTTGAGCCACTTTCTGATGAGTAGACTGAGATTTTTATTAGAAAATCCACTCTTTCTTCCCTGGCATCTATTAATTTTGTAACTCATGTGCTGGGTGTCCTCAGTGACCAGGGAGCAAAATCTGGACAGTGGATAAGGCTGGAACCACATCCTCAGCTCCCCAAGTTCCAGCCCTTATCACTGGGAGCCAACCTGGACAACGGGGTAGTAGTTGCATCAGGGCAGGTGACATTCAGCCCATCCCAGGAGCTGTTGAAGAAGGTGGTGCCCTACCACTGCCTGGACTACATCTGCACCCACTGGAAAAAGGATGACAAGGGGCATGTGGCACCCACCATCCAGGCCACTGTCACTCACTTCCACAAAGTCACCACTTGTGTCATCACCACCTGCCTGGGGGACCAGAGCATGGAGGCTGCAGACAGGGCCAAAGTAGTGGAGCACTGGATTGCGGTGGCCTGGGTATGCTGCAAGAGGGGCTGGGGACACCCTGTTCTCCTTTCTCTGATCTCAAGAACCTCAACATGGATGCCAGGGCCCCAGGCCTAGGGCCACACTGGCTAGAAAGTCATAGTGCACAGCCACAGCAAGAGTCCCTCTTCTTTTTCTATACTTGGTTTGCGTTAACATGATCCTCTGCTTACCCCTTGGTCTATGGCATCACCCTGGAGCTCCCCACCATGCATCTCATCAGAAGAGGCTCAGCCCCAGGGCGTGAGGCAGGAGCTCCACCCATGCCTCACAGTGTCCTCATTCCCAGGAATGTCGAGCTCTCAACAACTTCTCCTCCCTCTGTGCCATTCTGGCTGCTCTGCACAGCAAGGCCATCCACCGCCTGAAGAAGACCTGGAAAGACGTCTCCAGGTGAGTGTACTTCTCTCCTAAGATGCACCTGGGCTGCCATCACCCCTCAATGAGCCCAGCTGCAATCCTGGGGGACAGGGGCTGCTGATGTCCACAACTGTACATGAGCCCAGTAAGTCTGTGACAGGGTTTGGATTTCTAGACTGCTTCACACAGGGCAGGGTCACTCGGGAGGTTTTCACACTTACATTGTAGGCACAGCATTTGAGGATTAAACCCAAATTATCACCCCTCAAGTTAATGGGTAGGGACCCTACTGTACAAGCAGGAACTTCCTGCTCCAGACCCATGCGACCTTAGTGCTCAGTGGAACCATTTGCAAACCCCTTCTTCAATCATATTGGAAGACTTTTAGTCATGGTACTAAAAGAAAATGGATTCACACTCCTATCCTTCCCCACCCTACCCGTCACCTTCTCTCTGCCCTTCCTGCAGCAACAGCCTTCAGATATTCCAAAGTCTGTCCAGTGTTTTGACTCCTGAGACAATCTACTGCCTGAGCAGAGAGGGGCTCGTTGAGGTAGGTGGGAATCTGAGTACAATAGGCAAAGGGGGCAGGGACATTAATTCCTAAGAGAAAAAGTTTCTGAGTAAGTCCAGACCCCTGTCTTCTGGATGAAGAAAGTTTTTGTGTTCAGGCAGGTGGGGTAGAGTTTGGAAACAGGAAGTCTCTAGTAATGGAATGCCGTTGAGGCAGTCAAGTGTTTGTGGAGGTGGAAGAAGCAGCAAAATGAGGTAGTCTGTGGGCTCCTGCTAGTGGGTAGCATCAGCCCAACTATTGAGTGGTTTGAAGCAAATGGCACTGCCTCCAAAGCCATCCCATCCGATTCTCATGAATCCAGGTTTCTGTCACCTTTCTGTGTGGGATGCACATCCCAGGGGAGTTATCTGTTAGGGGATTGGATACCAGAGGGTGTAAAAGGGCATTTTCATGGTGGAGAACATCGTGAGTGTCACCACAGAGATAGTAAACCTTTGGCACAGGCTCAGTATGCTTCAGGGAACAGTGACCGAGGACTGGGGTAGGCAGGAGACTCACATTTTTTCTCTCTCCATTTGTGGTTCCTCTCTGCTAGGAACCATAGCACACATGGAAGAGCTGTAGGACAGGACTCTGTTCAGGAACAAATGGGAGCTAGGCTCCTGCTCCCTTCACCCCCTGCCAAATGCTGTGCATGTCAACACATCTCTCTGGGTCTGTTTTCTCATCTGACATTTGGATGGGTGATGAGCCTGGGGTTCTACCTTCATCAGAGACAAGTGGGTAGGGAGAAAAGGAAGGTACAGGAGTCCTGAAGTGGATTTGGCCATAGGGGTGAGTCAGCACAGCACCAGTGGAAGAAGGAGACATTGAGTCCTCACTGTCCCCATAACACAGGTATATGGTCATCTGCATTTTACAGATGAAACAGGAACAGGGAGGCCAGGTTACCATACCAGGACTGCCATCAATGCACGTTGTTTTTGTTTGTTTGTTTTGTGCACTGGAGCTTGAACTTAGAGCCTACACCTTGAGCCCTTTTTTGTAATGGGCTTTTCAAGATAGAGTCGTGAGAAGTTTTTACCCAGGCTGACCTCGAACTCCTTCCTCCTGATCTCAGCTGCCTGAGTAGCTAGGATTAAAGGCATGAACCACTTACACCTGGCTTCAGTGAGTGTTTTGACAGGGCCTAATCTAGAATTGCCATAGCAGGTGTCAGGATTATTGCCACAGCCATTCGGGACACTCCCAGGCACAAGGATTGAGAAGTGAAGAAGTGAGTTTTGAGAGGAGGATGGCCTTGCTAACACTGTCTCAATCTTGGCAGGGAGAGACTTCCAAATGGGCTACCATGTGCATGAACATCAACAGAGGCCATGGGCTACAGGAGAGTCTCGGTGAGTGACCATGCCCAAAGCCAGGGACACCCTGGAAGCAGCAGTGGCGATGGCTTCACTAGAGCTTCCCACTTGTGGTAGCACTGCCTGAAATGCACATCTGACATGGCCTCTGGACCCTCCCACCTCCAGCACACTGAACACCAGGCATCATAAGAGATGTCCTGCAGGCACCAGAGCAGGGCCTACAGAACCTAAGGGGAGGTGGTGGGAAGGGAGAAATGCCTGGGAGATGGGACAAATGCCAATCTGGGAATTGTACACAGGACACGGAGCTCTCAGGAATGGTTGCCTTGGTTCCTAGTCTATTCTCACTGGGAGGCCCTGGTGGTGGCTAGAGGCAAGTTGAGATGTGGTCAGCAATAGGGACCCTGGACTTTGCTTATTGTCCCCCACCCAAAACTACAGTGTGTCATCGAAGGTGCCGTTCCATACCTGGGCATGTTCCTAACTATGATGGCAAGGCTGGAAAATAAAATGAAAGATCACATACATGTGAGTGAACACGGGGCTGTGGAACAGGCGCTAGGTAGAGAGGGCCCCTTGCTGACCCTTGAGATCTAATAGAGAGAACCTCACAGCTGATCAGGTTCTAACAACTTCACCTGTACTACCTGGTGATATACAGAGCTACCTGACGTCAGAGCTGCAGGTGCACTTGGCACATCTATCAGGTGGTGACCATGGGAACGTGACAGCAGTCCCTCTAAGCTCAGTCAGCCTGTGGGACAAACAGGGCTTTTTCCCCTAAAGCTTCAGTCTCTGATGTCTTCAGAGAGTGCTGGGCAATAAGGACCCTGAATCTGTGACCCCAAGTAGCCCTGCCCAGGCCTGAAAGCCAGGCCTTGTCCAAGTGTGATGCTCCCTATCCCCTGGTGGCCACTCTTGGTAGTGCAGAATAAAACAGAAAGGCTAGAATCCTGCTGGGGTTCTTTACTAACCACCTTGGCTGTGTGTCTTCTAGGGGAGGCTGATTAACTTGCAAAAGCAGAGAAAGGTGAGCAAATGCTGCCCGCACTGCAGGAATGCCCTACGGTGGTGTACTTACGCAGGCCTTGCCTCTTGAGATATGGGAACATTTGATGCAGAAAGGATGGGCCATCACAGGAAAGTGGGATGTTGAGGTAGGAGCTAGGACTGCTTCCTGGGAGTGGCTGTTTGAATCCTGCTGTGAGAACAGCAAGGAGCCTGCATGGGAGTGACAGGAGAGGTGACGCAGAGTAATGACCCAGAGGCTGGTCACTGAGGACAACGAACCAGGCTTGTCACTATCCTGTCCTCTCCCTGCTCAGGAATTCAAAATCATCTCAGAGATCAGTGTTCTGCAGTCAGCCTGCAATCATGACTGTATCATGCCAGATGAGCATTTCCTGGCCTTGTTTCAGGCCATGGAGCCCCTCAGCGTGAATGAGAGGTGAGGCTGGGCAGGTACTGGGGGCAGAGAGATTGGAGCACATGTAGGGCTGGCTCCCGAGAGCCTGCAGCCTTTGCTCTGTTACTATGTCACATTGTTGCCTGGTAATGTCTGAGATCTGGGCACAAACTTCCAAGACAGGCACTGAGTAGGAACCAGAGTGTGGCTCCTAGTAGGTTCACAGCGACCTGTGTCCTAGCTACCACCTATCCTGCGCATTGGAGCCCCCGGCAAAGACAGCCAGCCACACTCTAAAGACCAAGAGGAGGAGAGCCGTGGGGAAATGCCTGAACAAGTAAGTGCCTGATTCCAGGTAGTGGAGGGATAGAGAGGTCCTGGGAAGTGGAAATGTGAACCTGTCAGGCTAGTTTGGGCATCCCACCTCACCTCTGACCCACCCTGGGTCTGGGGTGTGTGACCTCAATCTGCCAGCCTCAGTGTCCTCATCTGAGAAATGGGTTGATCCTTCAGAATGAGATCCTGTTCATTATCTAAGAACTGAGAACACTGCATCGAGCAGAGTCCAGCTAGGTAATGGAGTTGGGATATGTACTTAGAGAGGTCCCTGAAGTAAGGCAGCCCCTATATTCAGCCACCAGGACTCCAAGACAGGCATAAAAATGAGCGGCAGCTCCCTCTGCAAGCCCTGCAATGAAATGACGTTTAGTCCTGATCTCAGCAGTGGGAACATCAGTGACCCATGGAGCCTGAACTCGGCCAGCTCATCTAGCACTGACAAGGAGGACCTTGAAAAAGCATTATGCTGGAAGCCTGCGATGACAGCAAAGAGAAGGTGATGATCTGATCATCCCTTCCTCTCCTATTGCCAGTTTTCTTCCCTCTTATGTCCATACAGGAGTTTGGAAGCTCCAGCTCATGAACATGGCTCCAGAAGCACCTAGATCTGGTGCCATGCTGAGGAACCCTGCAGGGTCTGAGCTTCTACTGAGGTTTCTGTCTCCCACAGTTCTGGCAGTCAGCCTCCCCCTCATCCCGACAGGAGCACCCACATCATGTCGGCCTCCAGCAGCCTCTCCCCAATGTCAGGCTCCACCACCCCTGTGGTGAACACATGTGCCCACAGCACCCTGTCCCAGAGCTGTCTATCTCCCTCTCCTTGCTGTACAACAAGACAAGGGTGACGGTTATATTGTTTGGGTCAACATGTATGATGTCAGCAGACCCTAGGCCATCCTTATGAGCCAGATGGCAGGCCACTCACTCATTGTCCTCACTCAGCCAGGCTGCACGCAAGCATGGAACCCTGGACACCATTCGTCCCCTCTTGCTGACTACCTCATGTTCAGGAAGGATGGATAGGCCAGCGCAAGGGAGTGTCTACTACTCACTTCCTGACCAGCAGTGTGGAAGGGAGCAGAGGGCCCAGCTTGCAGGAGGCCAAGGGGACAATAAAGAGGCCAGAAGTGAAGGAGCAGAAATGGAGGAGATGAGGTCGGGAATGGGCTAGGGCCAAGTGGCAGAGAAGACCTTGACTTTCTCTTGGAGGAAGACGGAGCTAGTAGGAGTTACATTAGAGAGGGCCAGCAGTGGCTTATGGCCTACCCATGGGATGTTGGCCAAGGTACAGAGAGGCTGCTGAGGGAGCTGCAATTGCAATCAAGCCTGGGAGAGTGGGAGCCACAGCAGACTGATGGCCCTGGAGACGACCAGCAGTGTCAGGGTCTGGATGTCATGTGAACCTGGGGCCATGGGACCTGCTCATATATGTTTAGTCATACAAGGGGTGACTCCTCGCGTGTGCTGGTTTCCGGCTACAGGTGAGTCACTTACAGCCCTGCCTTCCCCATGATCTGTCAGGTGCCCCACGGCACACCAGCACGACTGAACTTCTTGCTGCCAGACTCTGCAAGAGCTGTCATTAGCAGCCACTGCATAGCACAGAGTCTGAGTCTCACATGCATTCTGAACCTCAGATGAGAGGCAGCTGGGAATCAAGGCTGTGTTGTCCACTGCTGCAGCTTCTGGCTCCCATTAGGAGCCACCTGTAGAAGGCTCCTTGGCATCTGACTGTCTCCCCCTCTCCTAGAGCTGCACAATAGATGTATCAATTGGCCAGGCTCATTGATCTTGTCATCCCTGCAACCTTTCCAAGGTGGCATGGGAGGAGGTCACAGGCTGTTGTGAGAGACGCGGGCTAGGAGCATTTGGCAAGAGCCTACCTCATTACATAGGGGATACTGTCATTGATGGGGAAAAAGTGAGGATCACTTGAGCCAGCCGTGAGCCCTGCACTTAGGGCTCAGTTCGTAGCACAAGGGGCCTGGCCACTATAAATTGGTAGCCACTCTAGGGCCCTTGGCTTGATGGCTTGTTGTCTGTTCAGATCCAGGTGAGCAGCCTGGATATTACCCCAGCTGCTATTTCCAGTTCCTTGGAGAGACCCACACGGGATCAGCATGAGTCTGAGGACGGCAAATGGCTGGAGGTCATCACAGCTGATTCCGGTAAGTTGGAGAATCAGATAGGCAACAAGGCCCTCTGGCCCAGAACACATAGACACAGGATCAGAGTGGGAATTGAGCACAGAGTACCCTGAACAAGGAAAACCCTTCATGTTCCCGGGTCTCCTCACTACCCCAGTGCCTGCTGAACCTCCATGGCTTTGCACAGCCAATAATATGATTAGGTAGAAATGAGGAATGGACAGGAAAGTTTTGTCTCCTGGGCAGAGGACCCAGACTGACCAGTCCCAGTCAGGGTGGCTTTCTGACTATCCTAGAAAATGTACACTTCAGAAAGAATCAGGGGCTGGGGTTGGAGCTCTGGGGTAAAGCGTTTTCCTAGCATGCAGAAGGCCCCTGTTACAAATCATAGCACAGCTAAAAGAAGAAAAATCACAAAAGAATGGGAATTGTGTTATTTGAAGGGTGACATGTTAAAATTGATGTGTGTGACAAGAAACACACATTGTGGGGAGCCAAGGCACCCCAAGAAGAACAGAATAAAGAAGCCCAGGCTCAGAGCAAGCAGTTTAGGTTCAGAAACCTTGGAAAGTTCCAAGTCCTTTGTACCTGCAGGTTCATGCCCAAAAGGAGGCAGGGTGCACAGCCCTCCTAGGTGCAGCTCCCTTCCCCTGTGACTGTGTCCACCCTAGGGAATCCATCAAATGGCATGGCTGATCATCATAGTCCTCTCCTTGTGCCCACGGGCCCTGTCTTGTCACGTTTGCGCCTTCCCGGGCCTTTCTTCCTCTTCTCCAGCTTTTCTCATGCTCACCTGATTCCACTGTGAGGAAAGTGAGGAAGTCTTGCCCATGATTAGCCTAAGGGCTCCCCCCAGAGCAGAGAAAACCTTTCCCTAGACCTCTACATTCACCCCATGAAAGCAGACGATCCCATTGCAGTGCCCCATGGCACACAGGACACTGGAGAATCTGACAGAGGGCTTAATCACACAGAAAAGTCCATTGGATCTACATGGACCCCAGAAGTCAAATGTACATGTTGTCCATTTTCTGCTTTTGTTCCAAGGAGCTAAGCATCCTAGTCCTGACATTAGGCTAGACAATGAGCAGTGACACCACCCATCCCTAGACATTGTATTCCAATACCCTGGAGCTTATTGCACCATTTTGGTTATGGAGATAGAATTGGAGAAGCTCCAGTCATACAGAATAGAAAGAGGAGACCTAGAGAGGGCAAGAAATGAGGATCAGAAGTGACAATGCCCACAGCAGCATGATCCCATTGAAGGGCTTGTTGAGAGAAGACTCTAGGCCATGTACTCTAGTGGGAAAGAGCCGCCCAGTAGAAAGACTTGCTGGATTCCTGGAGCCCACTGGATATGAAGGTCTCCCAAGACCCAGGCTTAGGCGACCTAGGGCAAGAATTTTCCTTTTCTAATCCTTGGAATCTTCACCTATGAGAGGGCGGCATTTCAGCACAGATGACTAGAGTCCAGTAAACCAGCTGTTGTGGAAGTGCAAACCAGATGGGCACCAGTGAAGGGGTGTGTGATGACCCTTTGCCAGCTCCAGGCTAAGTAGGGTGTGCTAGCGTCCTTGTCTGAGAAAGTGTCATTAGGTTTCCTCAGGGCCAATGCACAGTCCACTCCTTGCCAGGAATCACTGGGAGGGAGCCTTTTGTGTCCAGGAGCTGAGCTAGAGGTGTACTGGGGCCATGGGCAGACCTGGTTGAGTAGAGGTTCTGTAATGGTGGGGGCGTTCCAGTGACTGCCACTGACTACATCTCTGCTACTCTCCCACCAGAGCTCAGCATCCAAAAGACTTCAAATATGTCTACATCCATACAGGACCATATCGTAAATTCAAAAGCCTTCATGGAGGGCCCTGCAGGCAAATGTGGAACCAGCTGGACCTTCCCTCTGAGAAGGCCTAGGAAAGTTACACTGCCATGGGCATCATATTACAATAATTATACTAGGCTCTGTCACCTTCACTACAGATTACCTGGTGTAATGTGCACATGGAATAAATAGGAACATAACATTAAATTTTAATATTAAAATAAGTTTTCACAAATACCAAGGTCCTTATCATTTTTTTCTTATATTTCCTGTGTTAATAATGAGACAGAATTACACATTTCATGAGGAAATAAGAAATCTTGCAGATTTCTCACACTATTTTGTGCAGAATTAGGAAAGGCCAGCCCTCTTGTCAAGCAGGCTGGAGGAAACACACATCCACCTTGCCCAGAGCAAGTGTTCATTTCAGGCTCATGAAACTGGTTGTGGCACACTGCTCCCTAGGGACTCCTGGTTAGAGGTTGGAGGTGCTGTCACAGAGCCTGGAACAACCACTGGAATTTGGGTGTTCTGAAAAAATACCATTTGCTAAAGAAATGGCTGAGGGGGAACGACTGGACTCAGTCTCTCCAGGAAAGCACCCATTAAGCTGAAGGGGGAAGAGATCAGAATCAGCAATCTCAGGACTCTGGGAAGTGATCAGACATAGTAACCAGGGGAAGCTTTAGGAAAGAAGACACTGCTCAAGGTTCAACAACAGATAAATTCAGTAAAACCATAAGCACAAATTCTTTTTGGCAGTACTGGGGTTTGAACTAGGGCCTCATGTTTACTACGCAGGTGCTCTGCAACTTGAGGCAGTCCCCCAGGACAACCACATTTCTTGAAGACAAATTCATAAATCTTTAACCAGCCCAACTAAGGAAAACAAAAAGGAATCATGTAAATTATCAATAGAATATGAAAGCAAGGGTCTCACTACAGATGATATATTCAAAGGCTAGTAAGGAAATAATCCACACAGTTTTATGTCCATAAATTCAATAGCAGATAAAATGAAACAGTTATTCAAAGATACACCCTACCATAGCTCACTAAAGAATAACTAGATTAAGTGAATAATCTGATATTTATAAACAAATTTATAGCTAAGAACCTTCGTACAAAGAAAACTCAGACACAACTTCATTAATAAATTGTAAATTTATCTAAGGAAAATATCTGTTCTACATTTTAAAAAAAAATCCAGATAGTGCAAACTACAGAAGCATTTCTCAACTCATTTTACTCACTGTTACCAGAGTTCATTTGGAAGAAATAAATCACCAGGATGCCAAAACTAGAGATAGCATTAGAAGAAAAGCACTCCCGAGGCCAATAGTCCTCTTAGTGCAGAGGAGGGATCCTCAACAAAATATCAGCCCATGGACTCACAAATACACCAGTAGAATAAGAAATCGTGTGCAAGCAGGATTAATATGGAATACAAGAATGCATTAGCATTCAAAAGTAGAGAGTGTATATTTGCTTATGATCACACTATGGAAGAAAGATGTGGTCATCAACAGATAAAGAACAAGGGATGAAAATACTCTAGAAATCAGGATTAGAAAAGACTTTCTTAACCAATGCCACAGTTTGCATTTCAGATTGAATTTAAGCCAGCTTTGGAAGGCCACCCTATAATCCCAGCATCTCAATTGAAGGTTTGCTGTAGCAAGTCATGAGGCCTTGTCTCAGAACACTACAGAGTACTGTAGGTGACCTTCCCAACAGAGCACGTGCCTGGCATGAGAAGCCCTCGGTACCATCCACAGTAGAGCAAGAGAGACAGAATTGAAATATTTGGCTTTTATTTTTCCCTACTCTGGTGACCCTGCTTAGATGAATTCAAACTATTTTTTTGCAAATAATTAACAACTTTCACAGAATTATAAGATATTCTGTAACAAATTCTGTTTGAACTGAGGAAAAATGAAGTGAAATTGAACCAAGTCTTTTTTATACCTCTAGTATCAAGAGCAGTGTTTGGTAAACAAGGTATATTTGCTTGGAAATGAATGTATAATGCCATCTATCATTTTTATTCCATATAAATAATTTTATTTCTACTTCATATTCTTGAAAATATGCAATGTAGGAAAAAAAACAGAAATGGAACCTATTCCTGTCCTCTCAGCTAATCAGATGGAAAGATTGGGAAGAATGAGGTTCAAGGCCACCTTGGGCAAAAGGTTAGTGAGATCCTGTCTCAAAGAATAAGCCAGGCTTGGTGGGCATGTGCCTGTACTGCTACCTACATGGGGGGATCAAAGTGCAAGGCCAGCCCAAGCAAAAAGTGTGAGAACCTCTGTGAAACACAACTAAAGAAAAAACAGCTGGTAGTGTGGCTTCAATATAGAGCTCTGCCTAAGGGGTGCAAGGTCCTATGTTGATTACCTCATACTGCCACAAAAAAAAGAAAGAAAACTAAAGTGTGCTGCTGCTCATAGTAGCATTTGTGGCTATGGCCAAAGAGGGAAACAACCTGAAAAAAACAGCCATGAAAAAAGCAGAACTGATCATGTCAGCTCTGGCTAAAGTACCTCTATCTACAAGGTAGACTAGAAAAATCAGAATTAAGTATTAAAGTGCCCACTACCTCATTAAAGGCATTAGTTCATTCAGATATTTATATCCTAGGACTCATTCGTTTAAGAAAGAGAGCTAACCTTATTTTTCATGATTTTCTGCTTTTTCTAAAACTAAAAGACTTCTAGCTACTACCTTTCTACGCCTAATGCAATTTCCCAGTAGTAATACATTTCCTTAATTAGAAGCCTTAATTAATAAGGACATGAGGAATCCACCTGAATCCTTTGTTACCCATAGAGCTTTCTAGTTTGGGATTCCTTGGCTTCTCTTTGACGCTCACCCCCACCTAGTGGTCATAAGGTGCATTACCATTTCTTTAGGTTGGGAACTGAAAGAGAGCAATCCAAACAGTGTTCCACTGGGCACCTGCTCTGTTTAAGACAAAATGCAGATGAATAGTGGGTGAGAAGGAACAATAAAAAGTGGCTTGCTTTTTCTATTATATTTTCATTGTCTGAAAGTCTGATATTGGTAACAAGTAAAATTGAAAATTACTACTGGGACGGATTTGCTTAAAAATAGAACACTGAGTAATGATTTTGCATTATGACACTAGCTAAAAAATGAAAGGCTGTTCAGCACCTGAAGGTATAAGCTGTTGTTTCCCTGGCCTAGCCCCGCCTGCCCTAACAGATGTGAGGGCATCTGAAAGGCCTGGTTTACCTGTCCTATCTTCATTTCCACCGTGGACAAGTACCTGGTACATAGTGGAGTTTCATTGCTTGGAGGGATCGATGAAAATAAGAGAGAGAAAATAATGTAAAATGTTAATTAGCATTTTCTTTGTAAAGGATGTAAGGAAAGCGGTTATTGAGCGAATCGCCTGTACCCAGGCAAGCGGTAGAGGTTAGTACACTGTTACCAAGTGACCACTCAAGGACAGCTAGCTGTGAAATTAATAGCTGGATTCCCATGCCCAGTAGATGTAATAACTTGGCTAGATGCCACTTTTGTCTATATTGGCATAAAACACCCTACACTGAGCAGCTGCACAAGAGCTGCTGCTGCTATTGCTGGGACTGACTGACTGACTGGCTGATGGCTGCAATGGATAATAAAGCATATAAACTCCTTCATGGCTCCTGTTTGAACCCCAGGTCTGCTCGAGTCAAAGAACCTATCTGCTTGAAGCAGGGTATTTGACTCACAATTGACACAGCTATCAGGAAATTGAGCAGCCGTATATAGAACTGCATTTATGGTAGAGTGACAGGATTCACACCTGCCCAGTAAGAAGCCATTCACAACCTTGGGCGATGAAAGGATGCAGGCATGGCAATGACAAGCTTGCTAGCAGCATGGCTTGCTAGCAGCATGTGCCCCACCCCAGGCATGGCGAGCAACCAGCCAGCCTGAAGAAGACTCTCACTTTTGTAGTAAGACTAAAGAAA